CATTTGGTTTACTGGGATGTATTCTTGCTAAGAAAAAGGACGCCTAGAATGGCCGTTTGGGACTTGTTTGGCGCCGTCAGGCCTCCAAACTCCACTCAGAGACTAACAAAATACGGATCCATGAGCTCATTCTACCAGTTTGATCACGCACTCTGACTCGTTGCTATCCTTCGTATACTGACGAAGTCCGGGATGGCCTCACCCGTCTTACCTCACACATTCTCATCAGCAGGGTGGTCCTACCCCGCGAATGTTTCCCTCCAATCAAAGATAGTTTTCCTCCTTAAAATCCCTCAAATCGCATTCAAACTTCTATATTTTCCGGAAAGTGGTCAAGGAGTTTTTTAACCCTCTGCTTCTCTTGCTTTTGTTCCACCTACTGGCTCGTGTAATTTGGCATCGCCTATGGGCCGAGGTACTATTCCCGAGGAGATAATTGCACACGTAATTATGCATGTCGTAATAAGCTGCCCGCTTTTGGCCTGCAATTATGAAAACGACCTCTTTGGATATTTCTGCCGTACAGAAGATGCATTTCTTGGTAACCGTGACACCAATAGGGAGTTCAAAGGCGTTCGCCTATCCTTTACTTACTAAAACTGAACTGACTTGACTGTTGTCGGGAATGATAAAAAAATCAGTGATGAAACGAAACGTTTCTCATTCTGATGCGATCGATTAATGTAACGCCCACCTCACTTTGAACACTCACACTCGTAGCCATTAAAGCTTCCTTAGAGGTAGCTGTCCGCTTCCGATGATGGCAGTTTTTTTAGTGGAAACTCTTTGTCGGTCATATTTTGTATTTTGAACAATTTGGCTCTAGTTCGGCGGTGTCACCCATGTAAACGTAGAAGAAAGAAAAGCACAGCGATAAACGTTGGGGTAGAGTAGCGAAATTTGGCAACAACCGATGGATAGTAGTGAGGGGGGAGGGGGAGAGGATAGATTTGTGAGCGCCTAGACATCTCCGAAAAAGAGGGGAGAATTATGACTTAGTTATATAAAAGTGGGCTGGAAGAGGGAGACTGTGGCAGTTGGTTATTTTGTGCTTAGTTAGTGTAACGTAAAGTATTGGGGTACCTGTAAGGACATGTCGAGTTATCGTCGGGCCAGGGTAGCTGGAGGGAGTGAACTAGCGCCTTCTGATAGCGAGCGTTTGGTTCGGATGATCATGTTGCCATCGCGTCTGCGGTTGCAAGTATCCACCGGCAATTTATAGATAACTGATCATGCTTGCTTAACGTCTACACTGCGACTGCTGTCCATTCGATTAGCCATAATTTCACCATTTGATATGTCTTTATTTAACCAGGTGTTCTCGTATCCGCTTAGATGGGCGCCTAGTCGTTTGACCACTATCACCTGCTCCGCTTGAGCCGATGGATATGTAAATGCACAATAAGGAGCAATAAATCGGCAGCGCATTCTTGTAATTAAGGCAAAGAAACCGAGTGCTTGGGCAATCAGTCGCTGGACATGTGCGCGCAGTAGCGGGACACAGGCGCTACCCACAGGCAATCGTCTCCCTGCCCCTGACAGAACTACGCCATAATTTCGTCCTCGTTCAGACATGTCTAGATGCCCTCAACCCTCCCCCATCACGATTTTTCATCGCTTTATTCAAATATTACGGTAGCACTATGGCCTATACTACTGTTCTGCGAAAATTTTCACGTTACGATTGAGACATCAGATTAGCAAACCCATATTTTCGGTCATTTCTTGTCAGGTCGATACATTGACACGCGAGAATGAAATCTTTTTACACGTTTATCACGGGTTATTCGTAGTAATGCAGTCCCACGCAAGTTTGTGGACCGAAAGGATAATCAGGATGGAGAAACCAGCTTACTTCTTTGAATGTGAGCTTAGTCGGGTGCTAATGAGTCCCGTAACGAATAGATGAGCTTTCCTCGACTATTATAAATATTCCCACCTTAACCCGCAAGGCAAAGAACCCCTTGGCTCGATGGTTAGAGCGTTCAACTTCTAATCAGTAGGTCACGAGTTCGAACATCGCGTGGTACCCGATTGTGGGTTGGACATGGCTGGCTGATGACGGCTAATGAGCCAGAAGTGGCCATTCCAGTCTCCCTTGTCTTTGCCGGCAATTCTTATCTGCCTACATTACTAGCCGCTGTGCGCTTGCTAACGGGATTGGAGAGTAAACTTCAAGGTAGAACGGGACGAGTGAGTTCCATATCAGATCGGTGAACGTTCATCAATTAATGAATCTTCTCTCGAGCATCTATTGAACCCGTAGTCGTCGGTACTGTAGGAAAACGTAACGGTTCACAAGACTGAGTCACCCGCTCACGCTATTCTCTTGTTGGTGGGTTTTCCCCGACAGAAGGGGCTTCCTGCAAAACATATTTACTCTAAGCGGACCTATCTCAACATATTTTACCCCCCCCCCTTAGTCTGAAAATGCTTTTGTCTGGACATGTTTTTCATTTTCGTCCATGTGGATTTATTTAGGTGTTAGGTACAGGACTCAGTGGTCTGTACTCCTCGTTGCCGAAGAAGCTAACTGTCAGCAGTCAGGGCCCCCCAAGTGGCGCGCCTTCTTCCAAGGAAATTTACGTCCCTGGGGCGGGTTGGCACCGTCTCACCAAACGCGAGTGGTCTTCCTGTGAGCCGTTAGCGAAGTTTCTAAACACCCTGGACTTCTGTGATTTGGCTGTTCGCGTAAGTCTAATGAGGATTTCTTTCAATCTTACTTTTACACAACACTAGAAGCAAACGACTCTCTCTCTCTCTCTCCATCCTTTATTCCTTCAGCCTTTACTATTTTGCCTACCCTTTTTACGTGTTTTTCCCTCCACTACTCTGCTAATTTTATAATTTCCGGCGTCCTGATAGCTGATCTATCTTTATTGCAAGGCGGAATACCAATGTTTTGGTTTTTTCTTCTCGGCAATTGTTCACGCATACGATCAAGTAACCATTATTGCTTGTAAAGGAGACAGAGGAACGTGGAATGACCATTTCTATCTTACTTACTGTCCTCAGTGTGGAGTTAAGGCATGACTGGGTTATATCGGCAAATAGGCCAGCAATAACTACTTCAGTGTCCCTTCGAGCTGTCGATAATGCTTTTCTCGATTATTGATAACTGCTTTGCTTCCAGCCGTCTGCGTGGGATGGAGAAGAAAGCCTCAAAGCAAAACGGCATTGCTATATAACATTTCGCGTTGTAACACATAGAGCCCAACAGAGTGTCCCTTTGCGTCCAGGTGTCAGGAAAAAGTAGTCGAACTCCTGTTTGGCCAAGATGAGGAAGTTCTATTTTCGAGTACTACATACCGACATAAACATTGGCTATTAGAATGATAATTTCTGTCATACGAACCCCAGGTTTCGTAGGCTCTGAGGCTCGACCCACAGCTTGTTGCTGACGGTAGTTTAGACTGAGACGTAAAGGTACAACGGGACGGGTGCGCCCCGTAATGCGATCGGTGAGCGTCACTCAACCAACAGAACAGTGAGTCCGTGGCTCGATTATTAGGGCGTCAGACTTCTAACCAACAGGTCACGAGTTTGGGCCTTAGATTGCAGCACCTGAGGTTCGAAATAGCTGGCTGATGACGGCTGCTAGGCCAGTAATGGCCATTCCAGTCCCCCTTGTCTTTGTTCGTAATTTTCTTATGCTTCTAAGTTGCCTTGCGGGTATATGTACGATGGTAGGTATGCGCTTACCGATCGGTTATGCAAAAAATCTTCCCGTTGTGCCTTGGGGTTCGCTCTCGAGCCCCGTCAGCAGCCGCTCAACGGGTAGCATATATCAGAGGCAGAGATGCACTACCAACTAATACAAGGAAGACTGGAATGGCCAGCTCTGGCTTATTAGCCGCCACCTTTGTCTTTGTCGGCAATGTATTTATGCCTATGACATATGCTAGCAGTTGAGCGGATGCTAGCAGAACTTAACCGATCAGTGGGTGCCTTTCTATCATTGGGTATGTTCCCGATCGAGACTGGCAAGGCTACGAGCCCAAACAAGGTCGTAGGTTCGAGCCCGGGGGTCGCCACCCCTGTGGTTGGCTACAGCTGGCTGATGATGGCTAATAAGCCAGAAGTGGCCATTATGGCCACCATTTTCTCTCGAATGAATGAGAACGTTCGAGTTCCAGGTATTTGTATGCTTGAAGAAGAAGGAAGGTCGATCACCGGATCAAATTGTTTATTATTCTGAGCATTCGGGCTCTTGCGGGAGTCCATCGTCAGAGATAAAAGCGTCCACGAAAAGC